GCCAGGCTGCCCACCCCAGGGGTGCAGAGGGGGCCGCCGAGGACCAGGCTTTGCCAACCCGTGGTCCCTGAGAGGCCTCATGCCCCAGAGGCTCAGGTTGGATGATCGGACTGACTCAACCCCCCACCCGGGCTGGGGGCTTCTGGCGCAGCACCTCAAGGCCCGGGTGTTCCAGACAAGCCCTCCCTGAAGGGAGCTCCAAGCTCCTTGTGCTGTCGGCACCGGCACCTCCCCCTGGCCTCTGCGATGGAGACGGGCTGGGTGGAGACCCTCTGTCTCTGTGGGCGCCATCACGGAGGCTGCTGCAGCCCGGGCTCAGAAGGCCCCTTCCCACCTGTGTCTTAGGGCGGAGAGCGCGGCCGCTGAGCTGCCTGGCTCCTCAGTGCGAGGCGACCACCGGAGAGGCGGCAGCCACGGCGGGCTGTTTGGTGTCGCCACCTCTCGCCACAGCTGGACCCGACATTCGTGGGCAATGACTTTTTAAAATCTTATTTAAAAAAGATTTATTGATGGATGCATGCAAGAACTGGGCATAGTCAGAGGTGTGGGGGGTGAGAGGACTCACCAGAGCCAGAGCGGGGAGCAGAACGGGCAGATCTACTGAAATCCACTGCTGAGGGGAGCCGCCGGAGGCGGGAGAGGGCTGCGGCTCCCTGGGGGCAGCTCCCTGGCCAGGGTGGACTCGTGCTGCAGAGGCTGCGGACAGCTCCATAGTGCCGCGACTAACCCTTGCGCCACCAGGGAGGCCCCAACGATGACTTTTCATTTCTTTGTTGCTGCACAGTTCACAGACGTTTTGTGAGAAAACATCAGCAGTCAGGACGGTGCCCTGAGGGCGCCCAGGCGTGGGTGTGCGGTCTGCCAGGACCGCCTCTGCCCAGCCGTTTGTGAAAGACATTTTCATGTTATAACTTGGGACTGTCTTTCCACGCGGCTCCCCCAACCTGACTGAGACACAGCAGCACGTGGCACTTTGTGGTGAGCCCACGGAGGACAGGAGACAGCGGCCCCGCAGGCAGGAAGGGCCCTGCTTGTCCCCAGGGGAGGCGGCAGGGCCGGCGGGCAGCTGGGGGCAGTGTGGGGTGGTTCCGTGGGACTCGACCCCTGGGATGCTTGGGCTGGGCCCTGGCAACGCCTCTGGGGGTGCGTCCCCTAAGCTGTGTATGCACTGACTGGTGTATGCAGGATGGGGTCCCCACGGAGCTTCCTGCAAGGGAACACACACTCCTGGACTCGTGCCCCCTGCCAGCCGCCCGAGCCCCCTGGGTCACACGCCTGGGCAACACGCCAGGGGGCAGAAGCCTTTCAGGCTGATCGTGAGAGTCATAGTGGCTCAAGCCGGAAACTTCCCCACCTGGACTCTGCTGGGTTCACCTTGAGGCAATCTGGGGGCAGGACCAGGGCGATCCTCGGCCCTCCCAGTACAGGCCCTCTACCAGAATCGGGCTCAGGACAGGCGGGGCGGGGCCGGGGGGCCCCCCCTACCTGCGAGGCCTGTCCCCGCTGCGGCTGGGACTGCGGAGAAGCAGGGCTGTCGCAGAGTTGCCCTCTGGCCGTCGCCGGGCCTGGTTGGGCATCATTTCCCACCTTCAGACTAGCGTTTACCCTTGCTCTGGTCAGGACCCCTTGTCCAGAAGGGGCAGAGGGAGCTTGCGGAGGGGGCTGCCAACAAGCCCTTTGGACCCCAGGACCAGCCGTTGCAGCACCCCACCCCTCCAGGCACCTGGACACCACCAGCCATGTGGATTCTCCACACCCTGAGGCCAGAGTCCACCTGGAGGCGGTTCTGCTGGCAGCCGTGACCCCACACAAACCCCACCTGCCCCGCCTTGGTGGGCATCGGTGCCTTCCACCCGCTCCGGTGCCCCCAGCTCCATGGAGGCCGCCCTGTCCTCTGCCCTGTCTGCAACAGCAGGGACCGTCCCCTTCTCTCTCATAAAATATGTGAGCTGGAGATTGTGCTTTCTTGGAAAAACTGGAGGCGTCCGCGTCTGTCAGGAAGCCTCAGGAGCGGCCGTGGAAACCTGGGCCAGGAACGGGAGGCCGGAGGGGCACCAGCTTGGGGCCCCGCACGGGTGGGCACTGGGCTGCGGTCCGCAGGCCCGGGAGGGCGGGGCCTGGGTGTGTGCGTGTGCGGTGTGCATGTGTGTGTGTGCGGTGTGCGTGTCTGTGTGGTGTGCATGTGTGTGCGGCGTGCGCGTCCCTCCCGCCGCCCGCCAGCTGCGAGGGGTGCGCGGGCGTCCGAGGGGTGCGCGGGTGTCCGGAGCCTGACGCTGCCACCCGAGCCGGGGTTGGGGGTGGGGGGGTGAGGAGGGATGGGGGTGGGGGGGTGAAGGGGGAAATGGGGGGGGCGCGACCACAGCCCGGGCCTCTGGCCACGCGCAGGCGCCGTCGGGCGTTCCCATGGGCCATTTGGAGTCTGCCTGCGCGCTGGGGGCCGCTGGTCGCGGGGCCCCGGACAGGGAGGGCCCCGGGGAGGCCGCGCCTCTGCCCTTCTGCGGCCGCGCGGCCAGGGCGTGGCCGGGGTCTCCGCCCCCGGTGCTCGGGCGCCGCCCCGCCGGGTCCCCGCCTGGCTCTCGCGCCTGAGGCCGTCGCCCGCCCGCGCCGCTCCCGGGGAAGCCAAAGGGGGCGTTCAGGCTCCCGTGGGAAGCCAAAGGGGGCGCTCTCGGCCCTTCGCAAGCGCCCTCCGCGGCCACGGGGGCCCGGCCGGCGGGGCCCCCCAGACCCGAGGGGCAGGGCCGCCCCGATCCCGCGGGGGGGGGGGGGGGGCGCCCGCCGCTAGATGGCAGCAGAGCCCCGCGCGTCCCTCGGCCCAGCCGCGCGGAGGTGGGGCGCGCGCCGCCAGGTGAGCCCCAGATACCTCCATCTTACCCAGGCGCCTGGTCCCCGACAGCCCGGTCCGTGTCCGGCAGCCTGGGCGAGTCGCTCTCCCCCAGCAGCGGGTCTGGGCGAAGGCCCGGCCCGTGGAGACAGCAGTGGCCGGGCCTGGGAGCCAGGGGTCTGCGCCCCGAGAGCGGAGGCGGCCTGTCAGCCCCAAGGAGCCCCCGTGCAAGGGCCAGTCCTGTGACCTGCCGGGGCCCAGGGCCAGCTGCGAGTGGACACTTAATGAGGTGGCGTCCCCCCTGGACGTGGGATGGAGAAGGGCTCTTTGATGACAGAAATCCTGCTCGGGGTCACGAGCCGTTAGGACCCGCAGCACACACGCAGCTTGTTCCTCAAGGAGACGTGACCCCCAGCCCGGAAAGGACATCAGTCTTCCCCGAGGAGGACCTCGAAGGAGCTGTGGACGCACGCCAGGGGCCTCAGAGCCTTTTTGTTCCCTTGCCACATGGCGGGTGCCACATGGCCAGTGCCACATGGCCGGTGCCACAGGGCCTGCCTTTGGTCACAGAGGGCGCACCCCTGCCCTCCCTGGCCCCCAGGGATGCCCAGGCTGACAGCACTGGATGGTGCATGGGGAGCCCCCCAGGTGCCCAGCTGCAGTGCCAGAGCAGCAGAGGCGGTGCCTGCTTGGTGCTCTGACTCGAGAGGGCAAGAGCGTGGTGATCCCATTGCTTGGGGGCGAAGGACACAGGCCTCAAGCTTTGATGTCCAGACCTTCATTTTCCGGGCTTAGTCTTGCGGCAGGAGACGGTCCCTAGCAGGACCACCAGCTGACCTCATCTGAAGGACCCAGGTGACACTCAGCTGGAACAAGCACCTCGGCCCTTCCCAAGCCCGGCCCCGCCCTGAGGCTCCAGGATGGGTGGTGCAGGGCACCTGGGAGGGCTGGGTGGTGCTAGGGATGGCCCCTTATTAAGGTGTGGGTGGCCTTGTTCCCACCCTGCATCTCCACCGCAGTCATCGAAACATCCCGGTCAAAATGGGGGCGCTGGGAGTGTCCCCTTGGTTTTTAATTTTTCTATTCACTGGCTACGGCCCCCATCCAGTGTCCTGCTCCCCCTGGAGAGGGCAGCCCCACCACCTCCTGTCCTGGGGGCCGAAGAAGCAGGTTCATCCTGCAGCTCACCCCCCTGCGGCTCCCGCCCTTTGCAGGCTCCCTGAGAAGCCCCGGCTCGGCTCCCCGAAGGCCCCAGGCCCAGTGCGCCTGGCCAGCGGGTTCCTCGGAGCAGCCAGCTGCCCCCTCGCGGCGGGCCCCGGCCGGCGAGCCGCGGCCCGTGGACCTAAGTTTGCGCAGGGGCGACCTCCCGCAGCAGGTCAGGACGGGCGAGGCCGCCAACCCCGGCCGTCCTGGCGAGGAGGGTCCCTGCCTGCGGACAGAACGTTGCTTCTCCTCGGGAGTTGGCCCCGCGGCCCGCCCCGGCCACCTGCCTTTCTCGTGAGCGCCCGGGCTGCTCCCGGGGCGGCGAGGCGGGGGCCGGGCGGGGAGGCGGCCTCGGCCCCCGCGGGGTCCCTCGGGTGGGCTGGAGCGGCCGGGGAGCCGCGCCTCCCGCGGGGGGGAGCGGCGCGGGGTCCCCCGCCCGGGCGCCCCGCGAGTCTCCTCCCCCCGGCGGGCGCGGCGCGGCGCGGGAGGCCGGAGGGAGCGGCGCGCGGGTGCGGGCGCGGGGCCGGGCGGGCCGGGCGGGGACTGCGCGCTGCCCAGCCTCCTTCCCCTCCCGCGGCCAGGATGGTTGGGTCCAGCCGCCGCGGCCGCGGCTCCGGGCGCCGCTAGCAGCCTGCTCGGCGCTCCCTCCCCGCCCGCGCGGCCGCGCCGCTCCCGCCCTCCGCCTCTCGCCCTCGCGGGCGGGCTGCTCGGCTCCGCGCCCCGCTGCGCGCCCGCCGCCTCGGCTCGGCTCCCCGGGCGCCTCCCGCCCGCCGCCGCGGGTCCCGCCGGCCCGGCCCGCGCCCTCCCTCCGGCCGCCGCCCGCGCGCTCCGCCCCGCCGAGGCTCGGCCCCGATGCGCGGAGCGGGGGGCCGGCCGGGCGCCCAGACCTGCCGGAGGCGTCGGCTGCGCGGCGGCTCGCGGGACCGGGCCCTCCGCTGATCCCGCCGCGCGCCCGCGGAGAGCGGCTGCTGCAGACATGACGGCGCCGAGGCAGAGCCGGCCGCCCGCGCTGCTGGGGCCGCTGTTCCTGTGCGCCGGGCTCCTCGCGGCCGCTGCGGGTAAGACCGGCGCGCGGACCCCGCTCCAGCCTCCGAGGCCCGGGCGCGGGGCCGGCGGGCGGCGGGCGGCGGCCGGGCCGGGGGCCGCCGGCCGCGGGGCTCGCGCCCGGGCCCCCGCCCGCCCCCTCCCCGGGCCCCCCGGCGGGGCTCCCCGGAATCGCGGTGCGGGTGCGGTGCGGTGCGGGTGCGGTGCGGGTGCGGGGGGCAGCGCCGAGCCACTTGGGCTGAAACTGCGCGGCGCCGGCGGCTCGCTGCCCCCTCGGAGCGGCGGGGGCCCCTCGGACTCGGTCCCTGGCGCTGGCACCGGGGAAGTGGCCGGCGGCGGCCTGGCAAGTTGGGGCTGTCCGCTCGGGCCGGCACCCGCGCGCGCTGCCCGCGGGCGGACGGGGCCCCCGCCACGCGCCCGCCCGGCCCGGACGGAGGGGAGCGGGCAGGAGCCGCCTGGGAGGGTCGCCCGGCGCGCGCTCGGGTAAGTTGGCAGGAGCCGAGGAGGGGAGCAGGACGCAGGAGACCCGGGGGCCACCTTGGGAGCTTGCTCGCCGGCGGCTCGCGGGCCTCCGCGCGGGGCAGGAGCCCTCGGGGTCGCGGCGGGAGCCGGGAACTCGGTTTCTCCTTGCAGTGAGTTAGGGGTGCTGCGCCCCCGGGCCGCGCGGCCACCCCGGGCTGGCAGCAGCCGCCGCGCTTGTCTATTCTCTGGAAGGAAAACAAGCTCCCTCTTGATCCCGGGGAGAGGGGGGCGGCCGCAGGGGAGGGGTGGGGGAGAATATTGATTGATTTTCACATTGGAAAGTACCTGCCCCATTTCCTCATTTCAGCCCCGCGGGCGCCCCCCGTCCATCAGCACCCGCCGCGCCCCTCAGGGAGTCTCTGTGGAGAGGTGCTGCTTCTGCTTTTTAATGGACGGAGCCAGCCGGCTCCCGCGGGTCTGTTTCCAGGTGGTGATTCTCCCCCGCCCCCACCAAGCCCCTTCTCCTCCGGCAGCCAGTTCACCCCGCTCTCCCCTCGTGCTCCAGATTCGGCGTGATTGACAAGGCGAGGGAGGCCAGGGCTGCTTCTGTGGGGAACTCCAGATGGGCCTGGCTGGAGAGGGCAGGGGACGCGGCCGGCTGCGCTGCGCGGCCAGGGCTGAGGAGAGCCAGCGGCCGCGGCCCCCACCCCGCAGCGCCCTGCAAAAGGCGTCCTTTGGCACAGGCCCCACGCACAGGGGGCACTAGGGTTGGAGTCCACAGCCCCGGCTTCTGGTCTCACAGGATCCTGCAGACACAGACCCTCTGCCCACCCCCGGGCTCAGTCCCTGCCCGTGGGGCGCCAGGGCTGCGCTGCCTCGAGGCACGGACGGCCGGGGCAGCCTCTGGCCCAGCTGAGGCGGCTGGGAGGGGAGCAGGGAAGCCGGCAGGTCGCGGGCAGAGCCGGCTGTGCCCAGGGGTGCGCGCGGGTGTGTCTGCCCAGATGCGCGCGGAGGCCAGGGGAGGCGCGGCGCTGCCCAGCCAGGCCCTGCGCGCAGAGGAAACACCTGCTAAGCAACTCGCTCGGCGAAACTTCGCGCCCCTTCGCGGGCTGCGCCGCCCATCCGGCCCCCGGCCTCTGAGCGCATGGTCTGTCCCGCGGTTCCGCGCCCCGCGCCTCCCCCCGCAATTAGCAGGGGCTGCTGCGCGCAGCGGGAGCCCGGCCGGCTGCTTGATAATCCGCACACGTGTGTGCCTGGCGCCGCCCGCCCCCACGCGGGGGGAGGGGTGCCGAGGCAGGGCGGGGGCTGCCCGGTACCTCCGGGGTGAGCTGGCAGGGGGCGCCAAGTCCCCGGCGCCACCGGAGCCAGAGGGGCAGCCCCGGGGGTGGGGGGAGCCTCTGGTGTCTGGGGTCCCAGATCCGGGCTGGCGACACCCACCGAGAAGTGGACCCCGGGTCCCGGGCCCTCGCGTGCGCCGCGCGAGAGGAGGGGGTGCCGGGGCGCGCGCGGCTGTGTCTGTGCGCAGGGGGCCGGCGCTCGCGTTCTCGGCGCGGCCCGGGTCTCGGGTGCCCTGTCACCCCGGAGGTGTCCGCAGGGCCGGCGGCAGCGCGAGCCCGAGAGGCCGCGGGGAGCGTCTGCAGGCCAGCAGGAGGCTGCTGACGCCGGCGCGGGGGCCGCGTGTGCGCCGGGCGTGGGGCAGGGTCTCCTTCTCCTGGCCTGGGGCGCGCGCCTCGGCCGGGGGCGGGGGCTCGGGGGCGCCCCGGGGCGCCGGCATGCGCGGGGCTTTCCCCAGGAGCCGCGCTCCGCGGGACGCGCGGGCTGCGCGGGCGGGAGTGCGAGGCTTGCGCCCGGGCGCCCCGGTGGTGGCCGAGGCCGGGGGAGGTTTGGATGCATGGGGCGTAATTCGTGACCTGTTTGCCGAGTCGTGAGAAGCTGGAGGCGGCAGCCTGGGCTGCCATGGAAGCCCCCCCTCCCCCCATGCCTGAGTGCTTGGCCTCAAGGAGCTCCTGGCTTCCAGGCGACCTCCGGGTGCACGATCCGCTGGATTTTCTTCTGCTTTCTGATTGTTAACGTGGCTGTCCAGGCAGGGGCCCGGGTGCACACCTAGAAGCCAGGCCGTCGGGGCGGGGAAGGAGGCCTTGAGCGCCTGCGCCAGGAATGGGGTGTCAGAGTCATTCTGGGCTCCCAGACGGGGGCCTCTCCCAGGGCTCATCTACAGGCTGTTCCGGCAAAGTTTGCGTCCCTGTGCTTCCTGCCAGTGTGCAGCGGAGCTGTGGGTCTGTGCGCCGTGTTGGGGGAGAGCTTCTGGCACCAGCCCCAGGCCTCCCAGGAGGGGGTCAGGAGTGCTGCTGGAATTCCTGATTCTCAGGATCACTGAGCCACACAGCGAGGAGATGTGAGCCTGCACAGCCACATCGCCACGGAAACCAAGCAGCTCCATGGGGGGGGGGGGACAGAGAGGTCTTCCCAAAGCCTCAAGCCTTCAGATGAGTTACCATCTCAGCAATTCTTGTCACACCAAGGAAGACACTGACCTTGCTCCGCAGGTGGAGTTCCTTTAGGGCAGGGCCCTCTCTCCCGGGAAGCAGCAGCTGCTGCCAGCCGAGACCTTGTAGAAACCCGGACCCCACCCAGGGAAGGGCAGGAGTGGAGGTGAAGTGAACCTGCCTGCACCCGTGACTTGGCGGCAGTCGCGCCGCGTGCCCATGCACACTTAGGTGCGTGTGCATGTAATTCCGTTGTCATGGGGATTGTTTGTTTTTCAATTTGGAAACTATGCAGCTTTAGCTCCGGAGCTCCTGGTGGTCTCTCGGTTCTTAGTTTAGGATTTTTAAGTCCTTACAAAGATCAGCAAAGGAGAGGCTTTCTTTGGAAGTGACAGGTTCTGCAGGTCAGTGAGCTCACCCTTGACAAGGCAGGGAAGCAGCCGGGTTGGAAAGCAGCAGCGATTCCCCCAGGCCCGGCCTCCTGCTTGCAGCCTCTGCCAGGACGAGTCCCTGGTTATACGCTGGCTTCGGCCGCGCTCGGTCAGAGGACACACAGCCACCGTGCTTAGAAGTTCCCGCAGGCACAAACAGCTTCTCCAGGGCGAAGCTTCCTTCCTCTCCAGTTTATTGTCTCAAACAAACACCGACTGAGCTTTGAAAATGTCAAGAAAATGGTTCAGCTCCCTTTAAGAAATAGATAAACAAAGGCTCAGTGGCCAGTTAGCGCTCCTTGCAGCGCAGACAGCAAATCCAGTGTAGACATTTCTAAGCTGTCAAAATGCAAATGGCATATTAAATACTCTATGCTCCACTGAATTCTAAATGTGCCTCTGGTAGTTTTTCTGCTGAGCTCATGGTGAAAATAAGCCATTACAAGTTGCATACATGCAATTTAAACTACACTTTCCCTTTGGCCTTTTATATTTCTTCTGGTGAAGTTCATTTCCCTGTAGAATTAAGAGGTTGAATGGGTAGCGTGGCTGGAGCACTCCACGCAGGTATGTCCCCTTACTTTAATTGTGTTTGTTTAGCTAATAAATCAGAGGCAGACATCTGAGTCAAGGTGCTTGTGCCTCGGGGTGGTGTGGGCAGGTTTTAAAGCTTTAAAAATCTACTGTTTTTCATGCCGGTAGGTTAGGGAATTGGATTGCAGGGGCCAGCCATGGCAGCCGATAGAAGCCAGCCCGTGCGACTCTGGCCTGCACCCCTGGCCTCGGGTAGATAAATGCTGTCTGAGAGAGTAGCACTGCCTGGGTGAGCCACCAGAGGCCAAGAAGTGGACACCTCGGCTGGCTGGAAAGGAATTCATGCTAGGGGAAGTCAACGCCTGACCTTGCCTTCCTCTGCGCAGCCGGCGCGCTCTGCTCCCCGATGTCCGTTTCCAGAGCGTCCAGCAGCACATCACCTGTCCGTGCACTTGGTGAGTGCAGGGAAATGTTTCAGCCACGTGGCTTCAAGTGACCTCTGACTAACAGACACGTCTACATGCAGCGCGAGAGTCAGCACAGAGGCTGATAAGTAACAGAGTTAAAGTCTTAGGTAAAAAACAGAAGGAAAGACACTAGTTTCCTTGAACTGTGAACATGAGTGACTGTAGGAACTTTATGGAAATAACGCACAACTTACAGTGGTGTTTTCTTTGGTCAACCCTTCTAGCTGAAGAGTGGAAAATGCTCTCCTGTCCCCGCTTTGTGAGTTCAGCTGCAACTTCCGTTCAACCATTTCTATCAACCGCTAATTTCAGGGGCAGGAAAGGGCCGAGGTGCTGGGGAGTGGGGTGTTCTTTCTTCATCCTCCATGACTCTGTCTCCCCGCCCCGTGAGCCCCTTCAGCACCCACCAGGCCCTCTGCCTCCTTTACCCAAACCTGCTTCTGAAGATGCCGTGGGCGGCCTGCCGAGGCTCGCCCTTGGGATCCACGAGCTTGATTTCCATCCAACATTACTTTGACCCGCGGTGGCAATATGTATCTTTATCTAAAACTTCTTTGGTAAATGAAAACAAAAATACAGGCAGGCGTGGATACCTATTAAAGCTAAATACTCGTCTCTTTTTTTAAGATTTATT